AAAGGGTTCAGCAGAAGCTAGGAAACCCTAGGTGAGTAATGGTGTCAGGAGATTCCTGCTTGGTTGAAAGTTTATCAATTGATGGAGAATCTATGATTCTTTGTTTATGATAAGTTTCATAATTTCTGGTGTGGTCAATAAAGAGCTATATTTTCTCTGAAATCAGTTTAAAATGTCAGAGGATGCTATAATTTACCTGTGTGCAGACCTACTGACCTCCTTATTTTCAACAATTTTTCTCACCATGAAGGTAGGACTCCGCTTAGTAGATCGTTTTTGAAATTTAAACAGATGCTCTGTCAGTTTCTGCATAGTGTACTCGAAAAGTCTTGCAACCAACCATTTCTTATGATCACAATGTCATCCTTTTATATATTTCTTTTATATTTCTTCTGATATCTACATTAAAGCTCTTCTATTTATGTATGCGTTTGAAGTGGTTGGATAAGACTTTTTTTTAGCACTTTGCAGGCAGGAAGCAGCCACTGAAAACCAGCCTCTAAGGTTTTGGATTGTATATGGAATATTGCTTTAAATTGAAAGAACAATTTGTGACGGTTATTCAGGGTTTAACTATTCAAACTGACTTAACTTATTAAAATACCTTATTACATATGTAGAGAATATCAGATACTTCATTATATAGTTTACTTTTGTCTTCCTAGTGTCATTAGCTTTACTAGATCATTTCTTGCATTTCACAACAGGATAGTTGTACAGGCTGTCTAATTAAGAAACTAAATGTACTCAGTGTTAGCCAGATTCACTTGTAGTAGGTATCCATTGTCGGTTATGAGCCCTACACATTCACCTAAGAAGTTTAGAAATTAAGACTATCTGAGGACAGGTTATTGGAACTAGGATAAATAGAAAGAATTGTTTTCCAAGGTAAGATTGTCAACTGTTCTCTAATACCTAAATAAAAAAAAAAACAACTGTAGTAGAAATTTGAGAATTGTGGTTTGGATATAAGCAGGGGCAGATGAGATGGGGGATGGATTTCAACAGAATTGACTGCACACTTCCAGGCCCATGAAGTTTGACATTGAGGGATTTTATTCTTGTTTTTTAAATGTGCTCGTTAACTGTTTGGGAAAATAATGTATGAAGTCTAAAAAAAAGGGATGAGAATGTACCAAGAGACCCTTCAAATTTCCTCTTA